AAAAAAAAAAAAAAAAAAGATTGGCAGTACAGCTCAGAGGTAGAGGGCTTGTCCAGCACGTGAGACCTTGCACTCATCCATATCACCCTCCCCGCAAAAAAGAACCTTTCCGGCATTATCCTTAATGCTGCTACTACTATTACTACCTTTTCATTCTTTGTCTCATTTGTTAAAACAGCCCCTCTCTCTAACTTCTCTACTCTGACCTATTTACTAGGGCACAATCAGACTTTCCTAACTTATGTTTTTTGCTATTAAAAGTAACAGGCTGTAAATTCTAAATAATAACTACAGATCAGATACATATTAGTATGGTTGTGTAAGAAAATGTCCTTTATTTTATAAAAGGAAAGTAGGTGGGCGTGGTGGTGCACGCCTGTAACCCCAGCACTGGGGAGGCTGAGACAGGAGGATCACTGTGAGTTCAAGGCCAGCCTAAACTGAATAATGAAACACTGCCTCAAAACAAAACAAAACAAAAAAAAAAAAAGTAGTTAAGAGTAAAGGAACAACACATCTGCAGTGTACTCACAAACAGTTCAGATATAACTGTATGTATGTACACATTAAAAACGTGTATATGATGAAATGTTAACATCTGAAGAATCCAGGTGATTCTCCTACTTTCTCAAAAAAGTTTAAAATTATTTCAAAGTAAAACATTTTTAGCCAGGCAGGGGAGCACACACCTGTAATCCCAGAATTTGGGAAGCTGAGGCAGGAAGATCACTGTGAATTCAAGGCCAGTCTAAACCCTGTCTCCCAAAACAACAAAACCAAAAGAGGAAAGAAAAGACCCAATGCCCAAAATACTTTTCTGAATTGTACTTCTAACACTATTCAAGTCATTTACATGAACAAACTTTGTGGTCCTAAGTAATCAACTTATTGGTATACACCCAACACTACCCTTTTTTTTTCTGGAACAACGAATTTTATGGATGAGTACAGCTATGACAAGGAATTTCCTCCCAAACAACAAAGTTGTAGAGCACAGGCTGCAAGGTGAATCTCTTTCAATTCTTTTCAATCAAAGGACAATAAAGACAGGACAATATAGACAAAGGTACCCTCCCTACATCAATTTCAAGTGTTACTATGAGACAATTTATAAAAGAAAGTGTTTTCAGTTCAGAAGGTGAAAAAGCTAATTCTATATGACTTCCTATAAATGAAACAGTCAAAAATAAAATAAAAGTGAAGACTGGTTGGTTTCAGGAGCATACTGATTCTGGGCTGTCTGAAAGCTGGAGACCAATCTGGAACAATGAGGACTAAAGCACTCTGAGCTTGCAGATTTACACATTCCAATGCCAATATTCCTGGCTCAATGAGATATATAAGTATTTTCAAGCACAGCTTTTAGAGTCATGAAATTACCCTTAATCCATCAACTCAATATCATAGCTAAAAGTACGGTACAATTTAACATTTGTGCCAAGACATCTGAGATGAATACATGAGTCTGAGATGAAGAAGTACAAACAGCAAATAAATATATGAAAAATGTTCAACATCAAAATTCTATCTCACCCTATAAAGAACAGCTATTACAAAGAAATCAACCAACACAAATGCTGGCAGGGCTACGGGGAAAAAAGCAGCTTTCTCCACTGCTGGTGGGAGTGCAGACTGGTACAACCACTGTGGAAAACAGTGTGGAGATTCCTCAAAAAACTAGGATTGGAGGTACCACTTGACCCAGTTATTACGCTGCTGGGTATCTTCCCAGAAGAATTAAGAACATCATACCACAGCAATGTATGTGCACCCATGTTTATAGCAATGTAACTTGTAATAGCTAGATCTTGGAAACAACCCAAATGCTCATCAACCAAGGAATGGATAAAAAAGACATTGTTAGCCAGGCGTGGTGGTGCACACCTGTAATCCCAGCACTTGGGAGGCTGAGGTAGGAGGATCGTTGTGAGTTCAAGACCAGCCTGGGCTACAAAGTGAGCTCAAGGTCAGTATGAACGCCGTAGTGAGCCGTCTCAAAAAGACTGAAAAAAAAAAAACAAACTACTCAGCCATAAATAAGGATAAACTAGAGACTTTTATAGGTAAATGGATACAAAAGGAGACCATATTCCTAAGTGAAATAAACCAGATGTACATGTACATTGTTTCTCTAGTGTGAGAAAGTAAAAAAAGATCCAAAATGTACAATAGATATTGTAAAATGGGAAGAAACTGTTCAAAAGGAAAGAGAAACTGGGATGGGGGAAAGGAGGAAAAAAAATATATATACACGCACACACACACAAAGATAAGATAGTTACACATACTGATTTCTCTTAGTTCATTAAAAACAAAGGTTTGTGCTAGTATCGTTAGACAATTAAATACCTGTATCTTTAACTCTGAGTACTAATTTAAAGACATCAATACACAATGTATTAACCAGTTGCCCTTCTATTATCTTGTTTTGAAATTTTTTCTCTTTAGATTTTAATTTTAAAGAATTTTAACAAAATTTGTGCCAAGAATCAAAGCAGGAAGAAAACCATTTGTTGTGGTTCGGATCTGGAATGCACCCCCACCCCGCCACTTCCAGGGCTTAAGCTCACTTGTCTCAGGTGGTCCCTGACTACAAGTTTTCTCTGGGGTGACCTAGAAGGGTATCTCCCTCTCTACTCTGCCTTCTGGCACCAGGACTTCAGCATCTTCCCTCTACCCACGGCTTTCTAACATTCAATTCAGTGTTTAAGTCTGCCAAACATGCACTAAAGCTTCTGAAACATGAGCCAAAATGTACCTCTCCTCCCTTCAGTTTGTGAGGTCAGGTGTTGTGTCCCAGTGAGGAGAAATCAAAAGAGTACTCTAGCAAACTGCTTACCACAGCTGTCAAACCAACAGGCAGTTTCGTCCAACACTAATATTTTACAGTGCATATAAACCACAAGTACAGTACATCAACTCCTTGTTTAAAAACAAAAACCTCACTCAGCAAGGCACAGTGATGCACGCCACGCCAATAGCCCCAACTACTCCACAGCCTGAGGTAGGGAGACCACTTGAAGATGTTTAAGACCAGCCTACTCAAAAAAAAAAAAAAAAAAAAAAAAGAGCTGGGCTGGGCATGCTGACAGACACTTGTAATCCCAGCACTCGGGAGGCTGAGGCAGGAGGACTGTTGTGAGTTTGAAACCAGCCTGGGCTACAAACTGAGCTCAAGGCAAGACGGGACTGCATAGTGAGACCCTGTCTCAAATAAAAAACAAAAACAAAACAAAACAAAACAAAAAAATAGCCTTGCCACACAGAAGACCCCAACTCAAAAAACAACAATATGAAAGGTGCCAAAACATTTCAAAATAATCTTACAAAATCAGGATTTTTGGATGACGTGAAAATATTGTAAAGTAACATTAATTATTTTAAATATAACTATGATCTTGGGAAAATGACTATATTCAGAAATATACAAAAAAGAAAAATGACAAACTCAACTCACCAGCAATTTCTACAATGTCCCCAGGAACTATATCTTTAGCTTTAATCCGTTGTACACTCTTTCTGTCCTGCCGATACACTTTGCCCATTTCAGGCTCATACTCCTTTAGGGCTTCGATTGCATTTTCAGCATTCCTTTCCTATAGAAAAGAAAACAGAAGATAAACATTGTAAATACCCTCCTTTTACGGCGAGTATTTTGTAGCTCAGGATTTTTTTTTTTCCATCTCCTTGAGACAGGGTCTCGCTATACACTTCAGGCTGGCCTTGAGCTCACTTTGTAGCCCACACTGGCCTGGAACGCCCAATGATTCTCCTGCCTCAGCCTCCAGAATGCTGGGATTACAGACATGTACCACCACATCTGGCTCCGGAGTTAAAATTTTAGAATTTTAATCTAAACAAAAGAAAAAGACAACAGAAGCAGACTAACGAAACTGCAGTAATTAAACAACTCACATCTTAAAGCAGGGGTATCAAATGTGTGGCATGGGTGCTGCAGCAGGCTGTGACTGAAATCTCTAAAATGTATGGCATCATGGCCTTAAGATCACAAACATCTTACAAGGGCAGGTATGACTTTTATATTAAAAATACAACAGCCCAGCTGAGCATGGTGGCGCACAGTTGGAATCCCAACACCCCAGAGGCTGAGGCAGGAGGATCACCAAGAGTTGGATAGCCTGGACTACACAATGAGTTCAAGGCCAACCTGGACTACATACCAAAACCCTGTCTCCAAAAAACAAAAACACAAACAAAAAACCAGCACAAGTAGGATAAGGGGATGAAACTATATATGAGACACTGAGAACAGATCAGAGAACCTGGTCTCCTAGGCACAACGCAGAACACAGGCCTCACCTCCAGCCAGCCACTCCACTTGTTCCCGCCTCACATGAAAGGTATGAGGAGGCACAGTCTTTATTAGCTAGGCTGCCCAGGTTCCACTGAGGCTCTGCATTCAAAGCTTGCAGTAAGTCACACAGTACACAGACTTACTGTCTAGTAGTTCACAGGTGATCAAGTTCATAGGTGACCAAGGTCAAAGAGGTGTTCGCAGAACACTGTATTTTACTCCTACTATACTAGAATGGTGCAGTTAACCACTTACCAGTCCAATTATTTCAATACAGGATGACCAAAAATGGCACATTTTTCATTTGTTTTTATAAGGTAATATAATAAGGAATATAAAAACAACAATTTTATCAAATTTACTGGCTGGCTGAAATGACACCTGCCCTGGTGACGCTAGGCATAGTCAGTATGTAAATAAATGCACTGCCAGAGAGAAGTGGGAGTAAACTGTTAAGTGGTTAAGTAAGTTATATAGCTCAGACCCTGAGGATAAAGATGACAAAATCTCAATAGCCTTTCTTGCCTCAACTCTAACTATCAAAGGCATATTCAAAGTGTAGGGGGTGAGGGCGGAACCCAGTGACAGTATATGTGCTTAGCATGCCCAATACTGTAGATTTAATCCTCACTCTACGTACACACACAAACCAAAGAGCACAATTAGAAATTTGTGTGTGTGTGTGTGTGTGTGTGCCTGTGTACACCTGTAATCCCAGGACTAGGGAGGCTAAAGCAGGAAGATCGACTCAAATTTGAGGCCCCCTGGACTACACAGCGAATTCAAGGCAAAACTAAACTACATATTGAGACACTGTCTCAGAAGAATAAAAATCTTCTTTTAGTTTATTGTGGTGGTGTATGCCTGTACTCCCAGGACTGTTGTGGGAGGATCACAAGGCCAAGACCAGCCCAGAAAATTCAGTGAAACCCTGTCTCAACATGAAATTAAAAAGGCAAGCTGGGGATATAGCCCAGCAGTACAAGCGCCTGTATGGCAAGCACAAGGTCCTGAGTTCAATTCCCGGTACCAAATAATTAATTAATTAATTGATAGATAGGGTTAGGGATACAGCTCAGTGGAACAGTCCTTGCCTACTACTCATGAGGCACTGGGCTTAACCCCCACGACCTCCTCCTCCACACAATTTGTTTTAAAAACTTGATATTACAGCTAAGTAGTAGAATACATGCCTATCTTCTAGATGAGATCCCCAGCACTGCAAAAATAAAACACAGAAAATTTAAATATGCATTCTATGAGCCCACCACATTTATTAATAAAATTAGAAGTTAACAATTCCAATAGGAGTAAGTGTGTTTATAAGGTGTTTTCACTTTAAGAATAACAGGTATTGTGGGCATGATGGTGGTACAGTACATGCCTGTAATCCCAGCACTCTGGGAGGCCGAGGCAGGAAGATCCAAATTCAAACCCAGCCTGGGCAATTTAGTTGAAACTCCACCTCAAAAAAGAAGAGGGGTGAGGGGGTGCAGATCAGTGCAAAGGCCATGGGTTCATTGAATTTCAGGTACCACAAATCAAACAAAAAATAGAATAATAGCTATATCCTTATTTTATTTTACTTTATTTTATTTTATTGTTTTTTGTCTTTTTGAGACAGTGTCTCACTGTGTAGTTCAGACTGGGCTTGACCTTACTTTGTAGCCCAGGCTGGTCTTGAACTTGCAGCAATCCTCCTGCCTCAGCCTCCCGAGAACTGGGATTACAGGCATGCGCCACCACGCCCGACATATACCTTTATTTTAATTTGTAGACTGTATCTATTAAAAGCCTAAGAGATCAACATTTAAATTTGAAGTATTAATCTAAGTCTTAAATCTAACAAAAAAAAGTCTAAAAGGATGCTGGGCGTGGTAGCACACGCCTGTAATCCCAACACTCGGGAGGATGAGGCAGGAGGATTGCTGTGACTTCAAGGCCAGACTGGGCTACAAAGTGAGCTCAGGGTCAGCCTGAGCTGCATAGTGAGACCCCACCTCAAAAAGACAAAAAAAAAAAAGTCTAAAAAGTCACCAGTCCTAACAGATACCTAACAATTATACGAAGGGAAAGGAGTGCCATTATGTTTATGTAGTAAAACTAGTTTCTATTCTGTGGGTAAGAAAAGCCTGGGCGCTGCCAGGCGTGGTGGTACACCCAGCACTCAGGAGGCTGAGGCAGAGGAATGTCAGGAGTTCAAGGCCAGCCTGCACTACACAGTGAGACCCTGTCTCACAAAAAGAAAAGCCAAGCCAAGCCTGGGCAATTGAGAAAAGAAGTCCAAGAGTAATCTCTGAAAAGAAAACAATTTATGATTTAGCAATTTTTATAGCTAAAGTTCCCCCAAAATCCAAGGAAAATAATAATAACACTGAGATTATAAAGTTTATCAAGGGAAGCAAGTAAGAAACAAAGACAAGATACTGGTTCTCATGTTTTCTGATATCCATAAGTAGCTTCTCTCATTCAATTTCTTTCTCTTTTGCCCTTTCTTTTCTTTCTTTTTTTCCTTTTTTGGTTTGTTTTGGAGACAGTCTGGCTGTGTAGTTCAGGCTGGCCTTGAACAAGAAGCTGCCTCAGCCTCCCCAATGCTGGGATTATAAACTTGTGCCACTATACCTGTCTGTCTCATCTATTTTCTTTATCGTTGTTTCGATTCAAGGGTCTTACTATGTTGCCCAGGCTGGCCTCAAACTCCTGAGCTCAAGAATCCTTCCACTCCAGTTTTCTGAGTGCTAGGACTGTAAGTGAACCTCACTGTGCCCAAATTCTCTCATCCATTCTTTAATTCTTTGATACGAAAAAGGTTGAGAAATTTATTTTCTGTGGTGCTGGGGGTATCAGACTCTTAAGCTTTATAGATACCTCGTAAGCATTCTACCAATTGAGCTACACCCCCAGCCCAAGGATGAGCAATCTTAACAGCAAAATACACACACAAAGGGGCTGGGGATTTAGCTCAGCTGCACAGTGCCTGCCTGGCAAGCACAAGGTCGTGAGTTTGATTCCCGGTACAGGAAAAAAAACAAAAATCAAAAAATACACATACAAGGGAGGGCTAGCCAGGCGTGGTAGTACATGCCTGTAATCCCAGCACTTGGGCTGAGGCAGGAGAATCGTTGTGAGTTCAAGACCAGCCTGGGCTACAAAGTGAGCTCAAGGCCAACCTGAACTGCATAGCGAGACCTTGTCTCAAAAAGACAAAAACAAAACAAAACAAGAGAGGGCTAAACTTTGCCATTAAATAAAAAAATACATTTAAGACTTTCAAAAGACATAGTTTTACTCAACATAACAGAAAAAGAGAAGATTAGCAGTTAAAAATCACTTACATAGGGGACTGGGAATTTAACTCAGTGGCATAAGCGCCTGCCTGGCAAGTACAAGGTCCTGAGCTGAATTCCCAGTACCCAAAAATAAATAAATAAAATCATTTACACAAACTTCTATTTAGCACTGTAGAAATTTCTGCTTACCTGCCATACACCCACAATTGCATTAGCTACTAATATAAGTAGAATTACAAAAGGCTCTACAAAGGCTGTAATGGTTTCTTCACCTTCTTCAAACCAAGCCAAAACCTAGAAGAGAAATGGCATGTGTTAGAACTGTGGATGTGTTTGTAGGCTTAGTGCCTCCTTGCCAACAAAAGTAGCTGGCACTAAAGCAATTATGACAACCTCTTTCTTAATTCTCTAGTAACAAATGGCAAAATATGATAATACAAAAAAAGTTATGTACTGTTCATAATCTTGGGAGTCAAAAACTTATCTAATGGGCTGGGGATGTAGCTCAGCTGCACAGCACCTGCCTGACAAGCATGAGTTTGATTTCCGGTACCAAAAAAACAACAAAAAAAACTTATTTAACAATACACTTAATGGCCAGGCATAGTGGCACATGCCTGTAATTCCAGCACTAGGGATGTTGAGGCAGGAGGATCGTTGCCAGTTCGAGAACAGCCTGGGCTACAAAGTGAGCTCAAGGCCAGCCTGAACTGCATAGCAAGACCCTGTCTCAAAAAGACAAAAAAAAAAACAAGCAAGCAAACAAACAAACAAAAAACAATACATTTAGGAGTTCACTTAGGCCAAGTGTAGTGGTACACACTTGTAATCTCAACACTTGGGAGGCTGAGGCAGGAGGATCACCATGGGTTTGAAATAAGCTTAGGCTACACAGTGAGTTCAAAGCCATCTTAAACTTCGTAAAGATCCTGTCTCACAAAGCAAAAACCAAACAAAAAAATTCTTGATTTTATTAAGGTAAAAGGTAAACAACAGCCATGTTGACTTAGTTTAACATTAGTATCAAGTAACATCCATATGTGGTATAAATTATAGTAAAAAGTTTGGCTACTGCCTTAAATACCAGTTATTTTCAGTAGTATTAGTGAAGGTCATCTCAGAACTACTATAGTTGTTCTGAGAATGGGAAGATACTCTGAAGGTTATTCATCATGTGACATCCAGTGTAGCAACACAGTACTTCAAGATGACTTAAATAAATTATACCTGGACACAGAACAATGCCCAAGAAAAGTGAACAAGGATTAACCCTTTAGCTCATACAACCAAAACCTTGTTAAGAACCTCTAGTTATAGCTACACTATACTTCATAACTGAGCAATTATGAAGATGACACAAAGAACCCAATACAGTGAATGCTAATAATGAAGAACACAGTAAAGAGTGATATAAATGGTTAAAACTAACCAGAACCAGGGTCCTGACAGATGTTAAATGCTGGTACTCATTTTGGTGGAAGCCTACCAAGCCTCCATTGACTCAATGTGGGAGATGGGATTCACTTTTTATTTTTTTAATCGTTTAAAAATACATTTCACAATAAAATCTTTTAAGAAATCTATTTAGTAAACAATAAAAGCATGCCTTCTGATGATTTATGACAATGATAAAAACACTCAATTGTACATGTACTTAATGGAGTATTATAGAGTGAGCTTTTACACAACTAGCAAATGATTAGAAAGACAATTAAGTCCCAATATGAATTTTACAAGTACAGTGGGTAACAGTGAATGAAATCACTTTGAGCAGGGAAAATCAAAATAAAAGAAGCTGCAGGGCCCCAGGCCCAGGTCCTGATATATGCCAATCATCACTGAGAACTGGTGAACCAGGACAGGCAGAGAACCCAATGCGTATGACAAATGCTACAGGAGGCTTCCAACAAGGCATCCCTAACACTGCAGCCAGGCCTAAGGCCAGAACCAAAACCTCTCTAGGAAGCTATAAATTCTCAAAGTTGCAGGATCACAGCTGCTGATATTACCCTTCCAAACATTTGCCAAGGAGAGTACATCAGAAATAAACTGAATTAGTTCTTAGGAGAGAAAAATTGCTCAACTTGAAGAGTGACTAGGACCTTTCCAAAAGGTCAGTGAGGCATTAGCAACAGTAAGATAAGCTTCACACCTTGTTAGAGCAGAGTATGAATTTCCTTCTTGGCAGCCAAACCTGGGAAACAAACTTAAAAGCAATTTCCCTCAACAGCTAGAGTGAAGGAAAGAACTAAGGCAAGCAGTGAAGACTATCAGAGTAAATCTCTCAGTTTCCAAGAAATCTATATTCCGTTTCACAAGTGGAACTTATCAAGTGTAAGAATTTTAATTTGTACAATGTATAGTTGGCTTTTCTTCCATGGGTCTGGTTATATGCAAGAAACACAGCAATCATACTGTTATTTGAAGGTTTTTTTTCTTTTTTTGCCTTTTTGAGACAGGGTTTCTCTATGCAGCTCAGGCTGGCCTTGAACTCACAGCGATCCTGCTGCCTCAGACCAAGTGCTGGGATTACAGTTGTACACCACCTCGCCCAGCTGAAGGTTCTACACATAAACTATTGCTTGGCAAGAAACTAGTGAGCAAATCCCTTAGGATGGACAGATGGTACTCAACATGATTCAAAAAGGACAACCACCAGTTTCCCAAGTACTTTAAAAAATGTCTACCCCAACCCTAAATAACTGAAAGAATTAAAATGACAGCCCTTAAACCGGATGTGGTTGTGCACGCCTGTAATACCAGCACTCGGGAGGCTGAGGCACCAGGATCACTTGGAGTTCGAGGCCCTCCTGGGCTACAAAGTGAGCAAGGCCAGCCTCAACTGCATAGTGAGATCCTGCCTCAAAAAGAAAAAAAAAAAAAAAAAAGAATATGTTGACTATAAAGGATTACTATCTGTACTGTCTTGTGTTTGGGGTTAGATCTCTATGAGTCTATGTTACATAGTTGAGGCTCAATATATATTTACTGAATACATGAATAAATCAAAATTTCATATAATCTCTAAGGTAAGGTCCCAAGCAGCAGTATATGAGCTTAAACACTGAGAGCAAAAAAGTAATTAATATTCATAAATCATTTAAAAAAATGGAAAAGGCTACTGTTGTGTAATCTTTGGCATAAATGCTGTCTCTTCCTTCTGAACTTTGCTCTAATATAGAAACAGTGCCTGTCTTCTGAGGCTAACACTTTCAAACAAGTTCAAAATTTCAAAACTGACAATCTACTCAAAGCAACCACTTGCTGAAGAACACTCTGCACTCTGAACTGTTGAAATAAAGCAGGACAGGGTATCTTTCAATATGTTATCCACAAAAACTAACCTCAGGGATTAGGGTGTAGTTTAGTGGTAGCAGGCTTGCCTAGAAGGCTCTAGGTTGATTCCCAACACTGAAAAATGGCACTGACCTTTTTTTCCAGTACTGGGGGTTATCTTAAGCAATGCTCTATGTCCATGCCCTATTTGTTTAATGTTAGAGATAGGTTCTTGCTAAATTAACCAGGCAGGACTCAAACCTGTGATCCTCCTGTCTTGGCTGCCCCAGATTACAGCATGTGTTACCATGCCTGGTTTATCACTAACTTCTGATAGGAAGTATAATGGATAAAGCAAATTTTAACCCAAGGTAAAAAAAAAAGTGTTCTATTATAAACTGAGAAGATACTGTGACTCATCTATATATAATATGCTGGAATAACAAATGGGTCAAGCTCTTAACAAGACCATAGAAAGGTGAACAAGGGAGTTAGGGATGTGGCTGTGTGGTAAAATGCATGTTTAACATGATGGAAGCCCCGGGTTAAACACCCAGCAACCCAGTAAGACAGACCATAAGCATATTTTTATCCTCTTTATCGCCTCAGAAACTCACACTGCAGCTTTGGGGATTTAAATACTTGCTCAGTAAATGAAAAAAATGAAGTTCATATCAATAACTTTATAAAGAGCAAATGACAACTAAACACTTTGCATAAATGATATAAAGGGTCACCAATAAGTATTACATAAGCTTTCTGGGGTAGGAACCAAAAATTATCTTAATCACTTAAAAAAAATAAATTAAAGCAGGGCGCAGTGGTGTACGCCT